CAAGAGGCGTATAGGTGCAACTAGCCAGCTGTCACTAATATATTAGAGGTGTTGAATTTGGAAGAGGACATGTTAAGGTCGCTTGTATCGATATGTGATGCGATCTGGTATCGGGAAATTGAGTTGTTTTAGGACAGACAGTCCTAGCTGTTGTGTTCGGCCCTCAATTGGCCCAGACCCCTTTTATTTTCATGACCCGTCCTTCCCAGTTAGAGCTTCTAATATTTATGATCCCAAACCCGAACCTTAGAGTGCAACAAAACAACAACAAAATGATTACCTCCCCGGCCCGTTTTTTGTAAGGCTTTAAGTAACTCTATTTTTAGCTATGACCTTTTCAGAAAAAAAAGCTAATTTATTTTCTTCAAAGATTATCTTCCTACTCGCATTTCCATCTAGTTTACCCAGCGTAATTTTTGGTGTTGACACACGTGACTTTCTCACACCGTTGATCGTCTGTCTCGCGGGCACCTGAATGGTCGCATCTGAGTTGTGTCAACATCACGTCTGCTTCGTCCAGTGAACGACGGGAGAGGAGTTGGTGGGGGAGCTCAGAATAGCTGTGGAGACTGTAGGATTTTGGGGAGGGGTAACTCTGAAGGGGTTGGGGGCAGGGCATACGGCAATTCAGGCTGTGGTATGCTGGTTCGAGAGGAGGGGGTTGGGGTGGTGAATGGTGAATGGTGGGGAAATCACACGTTACCCTCTCCCTATGGTTTACCCGAGTATTTGAAACAGTGGGTGTGTTGTGACGACTATTGGATTGTTTTGGTTTTATGCTTGTGTAAAGAGCTTAGTCAATTTTATCGGATTTTGTAAGCATTTGTTATTTAAAAATTCTGCTCTGGTGGATTATTTATAGATTACAGTTTTTCATAATAAAAAGTAGAAAATTAAAAAAATAATTAAAGTTTTAAAATTTTACAGTATTTTCTGACCAGACTTCCTTTGCATAATGAATTTTAAGAAATGTATTTTTATTTTATAAAGTGCGTTTAAACTCGTCTTCCATAGAAAGTATTTTTTTTTAATATTTAAGAAAATATATATATTTTTAAACATTACCGACATCAACCAAATTCCATATGTTTCGGAATTTCCCAATGCCATGCCATCTAAATTGGCTTATGTTTTTCTTAGAAATCATAACTCATCTTAGCATTTCCACTTATTCTATTTCAAGGTTAATGTCCATTCCTCGAAATTATATATCTTATTATATTCAAAAGTTTCTGCGTGTGAAAGGGAGAACATTTAAAATAATTTCTAGAAAATATCTCTTCAATATAATACTTTACTTCCTACACGACAATGTCAACGCAACAGCTGGTCTTGATCACGTGATTGCGTGAGATCAAGTATTTTTTATTAGCTGGCTATGGTCTTTACTATAAAGTACACAACGTAATATAGAATATAGCGGACATCCAAACGTGCGACTGGAATGAGAATATTGTTTTGTTTCGGATGTGGCATAAACTCATCTAATGGTAAACTCATCTAATGGTAAACTCATCTAATGGTAAACTCATCTCATGGTAAACTCATCTCATGGTAAACTCATCTCATGGTAAACCCATCTCATGGTAAACTTATGTCTCATGGTAAACTCATCTCATGGTAAACTCATCTCATGGTACCTGATATAGGTAAATGTTCTATATTTTTTTTATCCAAAAAGCCCATGGACTCATGCATCACTGCGGGTGTGTTCTTCCCCTTCCCTGCCCCTCATAGGCACCAGCAGGATTGTTTGAAAAGGGGTAGGGGCACCGTGGGGGTCAGTCTGATAGTCACAATCGTGAGACTTAGATAATAAGTAATGTCATAACAAAAACTATTGGACTCCTAAAACCGTGGAGGGCCGTGTGAAGGGGGGCGAAAGGGGCAGCTCTCCCCCCCCCCCCGGACGTTTATTATCATTAAATATGAATAATAGGCTTTTATATAATGCCTATATCTTATTTTTAAGGTCATAACAAAAACTATTGGGCTCCTAAAACCGGGGAGGGCCGTGTGAAGGGGGGCGAAAGGGGCAGCTCTCCCCCCCCCCCCGGACGTTTATTATCATTAAATATGAATAATAGGCTTTTATATAATGCCTATATCTTATTTTATGTGTGATGAAACCTGTGGGGAGAGCACCATTTTGACGGTTTTCCTCGTTGCGGTCTGCTCACATCATTACATTGTCTTAATTAATAATGTTATATAGTCTCACAAGTCTCACTATTCCTAATAAATTCTTAAGTTCACGTTTAGTTGTGTTGATTACATTTTTTTCTCAATACTAGATATATATATATATAGTATTTTAGTTATTATTTTTAAAAACCTATGTTGCGGGGGTCCATGTGGCCCTTGACCGTATGACTTTTCATTAAAAGAAATAAATGTAAAGACTCCAGGTTTTTATAATGTTCCTTAACCTTTCATTAAAATATTTTTAGAACCGCTGTCTTTCCAAAGATTTCACCAATTCACATTCGAGTTTCCCGAGGCGGTGCTAGACCAGGCAGTGTCCTGGGTACCAATGACAAAAATCTTGAGTTGTCATGAACACCAAATACCCCGATCCCACGTCTGGAGCTGAAGTTGTGTGAATGAGGATAAGACACCGGGATGCACTTTTAGCGCCTGCCACATGATAATTCCTAAATACGCCCATGCTCAGCAGACGGTTTAGGCAAATGTCGGCAAGAAAGTACAGTGTTGGACTTTTATAATCTACACTCTACACCATAAAATGTCTAACATCTTGATTATAATAATTGGAAGACGTTTATAATACAAATAGTTGCTCGTGTAATAGGCAGTATTTAGTTAAGGCCGGCAGTTTTTGATACAAGCCCAAGGTGTCTGTGATACAAGAACAGGCTGTTTGTGATAAAAGAACAAGCTGTTTGATGCATAAGAACAAGCTGTTTGTGATACAAGACCAGAACGTTTTTAATACGAGGCCTCGGCAGCTTTACAACACAAGAATTTTGCTATCGTGCCCATTGGCGTAGTCGTAATAGGTCTATTATGAACTGAACAAGGGGAGGTAGCTTCATTAAACCTATCAATTGTATAAAAAGTCAATTATCTTTCTTTGTTGTACTGAACATCATTCTTTCTAATCGGGCATTACCCAGAAGCCCCACACAAAATTGTGTAATCTTATGCTAGGGGACACCTACTACGAGGGGACGTTTGAAAAAGGGGGGGGGGGGGCGAAGAGAGCAGCTCCCCTCGGACCTTAAATATCATTATATATGAATAATTGTCTTTTATGTAATGCCTATTTCTTATTTTATGTAAAATAAATTTTATGCATATTATTTTAAGTACATTTTATATTTGGTCTGTGTTCAATAAATCTCTTTAGCACATACATTATAAGCTCCCACTCGGGATTTGTTGCCATAAAAATGGTTTCATTTGGTCTTATAGTAAATCCACAATTGGGACTACGACTTAGAAAATTGTCATGTCCTAGCAATCTAATTTTCCTGGGTACAGTCAACATAGGGACAGACACATGATTAAACATGTAGTAGGCCTACCATCACAATAATGGACTGAACATGGTTTATAATGGTAATAATAAAGAAGAAATCAAACGTGGAGCCAAATACCCCTCGCAATTAGTTTAAATTTAAAAAAAAATATTTAAAAAATCCAGAATTGATAGAATTGACAAACCGCTATTTTAGCCATTCAGCATTGATCCTAATATATAGTCTCTGATAAAACTCAGCACCACAACTCACTCGACAGACCCTGGCAGCAGTGTATAGCCTACAAGCTTTTTCTTAAGCACCGGCATGTCGCATTTTCACCTTTAAAAAATCATTTACTAATGAAGAAGTTTAAACAAATTAAAGATTTGAATTGCATTATAATGGTTTAAATAGATATTATATAACAACTTAACTATTAAGTTACAATTAAAAGTAAAAAGATTTGTATTAACACAACCAGGTCAAGAGACATTTACATATCATGGCATTTTTTAAATATTTTTTTTTTTTTGCTTGATCAATTAGCCAATCAAGTAAGAGTAGATTTGTGCAATAATATATTCAGGTATACGTCAAAATGAATCCGTTTTGAATTTATAAAAAAATCTTCGTTTTGGCCTCCTCTACAGACCCATTCGTTCTGGCCCCCTCTCCATACCCCTTTGTTTTGGCCCCCTCTCCAGACCCCTGCCTGCACTTTGGATTGGCTCGGGAACATTCAGCGCCTTAAATTGTATTCTCCCCTTCCCCTCCCCCCTTTTCCCCACACACACGCGCGCATTGCCGACCAAAATGAAATACAGGCACTTTTTTTTATAAGCAGTGAAAACTGGATATCATAAGTTAATTTTTTTTTTTTTTTAAAGGGGCGGGGTATTAACGTACCTTTTTTTCTCAAATTAAAAACCCGTCCTGTCTTTTTTTCCCGAGCCTAAACATTTCTTTTTCGACTATTTATTTTCATATGAAAACAGAACACAGATAGATAGATCATATTAACTGGGGAAAAAAATAATAAGATACTTGAGAATTGTCACCATATTTTTGTATTCTTAAGTTTGCTGGGAAATATGATCTTCAAAATACTTTTCCAATATTAACATTTAGAAGAAAAAAACTTTCTTAGAAATTAGAATCTTGTGTTCATTTCAACATTCAACACATAGTCATAGACTATCAATGAATCAGTGCTAGTCTAAATAGGCTAAATATAGGAATAATGTTTCATAACTTACAGTCGTCCTCTACTGATAATCTCTTATTAAATATTTAAAAATGTATAAAGCTTAACAATTTTGCTTATCAAATGTAGCCCTATAGAAACACTATAGTGCCATGAGAGTTATAAGTGGTAAGCATTGGAAGAGCATTGCAAGTACAAGGATCAGTGTATCGTTCAGTTTAATACTCGATTACAACGTTTTCAAGTAATCATGTGATGTCGTTACACCTCGTCTTTCATTTCAACTACATAAAGCTGGTAGGTGGCGTAATGGTTACGGCAGTGTGAGAAATAGCTTCCTCTAATGCCGGTTTGGATTTAGCTAATTTAAATAATTTTCACTTATTTGAACTCCAGTCAATCAAATCTAACATTAAATTTGACAATAAGAATTCTTTTAAAAAAATCTAATAAATTTTAAACGTTTTAAACATATGGAGAACTTTTATTAGGAACTAGTAGCGTTATCTTAATGTTATTTTTGTATCTGGCACAGCGGGAGCAGAGCTGAGTGTCAGGAGAGACTTAGCGGAGTTGGTACGGCTACGCTTCGTTGACAGTGAGAAACACTTCCCTGTCAACATTGTGTATATTCATTTAAAAAATGACAAGTTCAGTAGGGAAACTGATAAACTATTTAGCAGACTCGAGTCTCACAGCGGAGTTTCAACGAAAATGTGGAATAAGTCACCACTCGTCTTTGCACAGCAACGGCGTCAATGGAAACGCTCACGCCGGTACAGGTATTTTGAAGACAAATCAAGGCTCTGATGATTCGACACTCCCAGGTAGTTGTACTGATTCTACTAATAACATTTTTTACAAAAATGGCACAATCTTACACAATAATACAGAACCATTCGGCCCATTTAATGCGTCAGATAAACATGCCGACAACAGTCTTTCCAATGGCTCGCACATTTCAAATGGCCATAATCATAATAATACCGGTTTGAAGGAAAGAAAGTTGAACAATGTACAGCCCAAAAATGGATTCACTAAATTTGCCCACAATAGACATGAAGAGAATGGCAAAGACAATGACAATCATGTTGTTAAAAATGGATATACTAACCAAGTCTCCAATGGACATAGTCATTTTGAAAATCTAACTGCCAGTGGGTTAAACAACAACAGTGACAGTGTTCAACAAGACAGCTCAAACTCAAAGAATTATAAAATAGACAATATGCTATTTTATTACCTGTTTTCATTTGGGGCTAGCCTTGGAAATGAAATTTTTTACATCTTATTTTTCTCATCTTCACTGTGGAGTTTTGACAACTATATTGTTAGAAGACTACTTATTGTGTGGGGTGTGATTATGTATGTAGGACAGGCTGCAAAAGATGTTATTTGTTGGCCAAGGCCGAAATCACCACCTGTTTTTCGTTTAGAGGAAAGATATGAATTGGAGTATGGAATGCCTTCAACTCATGCAATGGTAGGAGTGGCAATACCATTCAGCTTGCTTTTTTTTATGACTGGAAGATATGAGGTATGTAATAATCATAATGCTTTTTTTAAGTTTGATGAAAATTAATTTATTATCACTCAGTGTGTCATCTAAGTCTAAGGATTTTTAAAAAATTGGTTTTTGGTCAATTTTCTATAGAAATTTTTCTTTGATATTAGTTCGATTTAATTATTATATGGACCTTTACAAAGAGTTAGAAATAAGCCTAACTAACAAAACATTGCTTTTAGTGGTGTTGTTGGCATTAACTTTATCTTCAGAGTAGGACATAAGTGTTCAGGCTTATTTTAAATAATTATCATGTAGTTATAAATTTGAATGGCAATGGGAACCATATAAGTATAAGTATAAGCCATCGACAGCACATCCGGAAAACACAGATTTCACCGCTAAATTAAAGCATTAATGCCATTATTTCTTTTTTAAAAGTGTAGGCACTATGGTTTGTAAATTTTAATGTGATATTTTCAATTTGGTATACCTATACTGTATAATAATGAGTTACTATTAAAATGAAAGTACTAAATTTATAACACCAAAATTAATTCCCCTGCAGATTTACTTATATTATTGTAATTGTTCAACAGTGCATTTATTTTACTTGGTTATTAATTTGGAAAAATTAACTTTATTTAGGAAATAAATTATACTTTAATGTAGAGTGGTTCTTAGTTATAGGTAATAATTCCAAAAGTTACAATTTTGCTGCTTCCACCCCCTAATCCTGTTTCGATAAAATTTTAAAAAAGAACTGCAAAATTTCAGCTCAGTCGGAAAACTGCTAGGCAGCCTTCAAATGCCTTTAAGTTGGAACATAATAATAGTATAAATAACAATTAATTCTGTTAAAAAGCTGTATACTCTCCCCTATCTCAACCATTTTCTTTTTTCTATCTAGCCATATTTTATGTTGACACCTCCAGGCAAACGCAGCAATTGTTATAAACATTCTGAATTACATAACCTAAAACTAAAAGATAATTCAAAAACTTCTTGAAATAATATGAATAATTCACGAAATATTAGTTGTTTTCTTTAATCGCACTCAAACTTTATACGAGAAACACATTTTATTTATATTATTTTTATATCAATAATTTCTATAGAATTTAAACATAATGTGAAAGAACATTGAACATTATTTTTTCCTCGTGAGGATTTTATGGAAGTTGGGTATTTTTTACCTTCTCCATCAAGGATCTGGAAAACAATTTGTCTCATAATTTCATCTTTTGTGAGAATGTTATTATAATCCTGAATGAGTTTGATGCCTCTTTCAGCAACATCTTTTACAACTGTCTTCTTAAGTTTTTCAATTCCACTTTTGTAACCAGCATCATCCTTCCATGTTGAAGGGTCTTTGTTGAGGATATCTGTACTGATAGAAAATCTTGTGAAGAGTTTCCAAAGACAAAAACTCAATCCTTGTAAAGGAAGAAAAATTATTTTGTACGGAATGTTTCTCATCAGTTGATTTTTTTTTTTCTTCCTCTTCTTATTCACATTTGTCTTCTTCCAGCATACCGTGTCCAAATTTGCCTTAACCACTGTTGGAACATTGTCACCAAACAAGGATGAGCCCCAATTTCAGGAACTAAGTTCCAGTGACATTTTTTTTTTTTTCCAGCTGAAGCCATTCTGATTTCTGGATCAATATCCTGCTAATGTTTCAGGTGTCGCATGAATAGGAACTCATAATGTGTTTCTGACGACAGAAACCAGGCTTGAATGTACACTCTAGCGAGAAAAATGCATATACTTGTTAGAGAGTTCTATTCCCTATGAGATAACTGATATTTATCTTGAACATTGATATCTTAACTTCATTTATTGCGTTAGCCATCCACCTAGCATGACTTACAGCTCCTGGTATACAAAACAATATCCTGTTCTTCTGAATGCTGTCACGAAAGATCATCATTATCTCCAGAAGTTCTCTGCATTGTTCTTGCGGCTGTTTTTACGTAGAATGATAGCTAAGACATCATCAGGCACTTCATTGTTACCAATCATGTAAACGTTCTTGTCGAGTTTTGTCCAGGTTTCTCTAACTCTTTTGAAAAGCTCCATGTCTGGACCAGAAGTTGCATCTATCAGTGAGCTGAAACAGCTCCTCACAACTAACTCAAAAATATGATGATGGCAAGGGAGGTTGTGATTGAAATTTTGTTCTAGATTTGTAGACATCATTTACTCAACCTGTGTTCGCTTGCTGTTGTATCACAACTAAGTGCATATATTTTGTCAGTTATAGCTCACTTCCCCACTGCTTGGTAAACAGACATGGCTTGCTGTTCTCCTGAAGATGTTGGGATTTCAGGCTCAGGGACTCGCAAAAATTTTCCTTGCCTTGAAAAGTTACTATTTCTGCAAGTCTATCAACCTTTTCAACACATTTCAGTGCTTTGAGTAGCTTTCCATCTCAGTGCAACACTAACTAATTCGTGGCAGTTGTTTAGGTGAAATTTATGCAGAATTTCTCTGTGTCTCAATTCTATATGCTTTGAACTATTTTTATTTTTAAACACATTGTGTATTTTTGCTAGGCGATTTAACGCTTTGGGTCACATTAGTAGTAAGGCATGTACATCGCATTTAGTCACAAAAGTAGCGAAAGGGATAATTAATAATGTATTAAAATATATTATTATTATTATTAAAAAGTATATTATTATAATTAACATTAAAAATGGAGAGGTCATAAAATAAGTTCATCTAATAATAATGAATAAATGGTATAACATAATACACACTGCAAACATTCAAAACTTCATGGTCAGTGAGGGTCATTTTGCCATTATCCAAACGAGCTAAAATTTTGCACATATTGTCTTTTTATTTTGTTGATTGGAACAAGAGTATAAAAGGTGAAAAATAAGGGCCACCCTACAAACAGCGCCTACCTTTTCATAATATATTTATTATTAAAGCTTTCTTCTACAAAGTATTACTTTTTCAAAATAAGTAATCATAGAGATGATGTTTTAATCCGGCTATATATCACATAATGTAATATTAAATTTAAGTACAGATTATGATATACCTAAATTAAATATCAATTAATATTAAAAAGACATACGGTATATGATTTTGTTGTGATGAAAGACTGATGTGATAAGTCAGTTACACTGTAGGATTCTGGGAAATGATGTTAACCCTCTTGAGATGGGCTGGACTGATATATCGACCCATAGTGTTATGGCGAAAAAAAAAGACGAAAGCTGATCTGCTCAATTATAAAAGCCTAGAGATTGGCTGGCTAATCAGATTGCTTCTGCATTTCATGTACATATTGTCAATTTAATAGTGGCTTCCATTAATATTTTACGGTGCTCTGTTTTATATCATTTTTCTTTTTTTTAACTATTGATCCCAATAAATGCTTTAAAAAATATGTGACCTTGAAATATATCATTTATAGCTTCAAGGGAGTATTTCTTGAAATTGTTCACATTGAATCTCATTCATATTTGGGTAAAGACTTATTTCCGTTTCAACAAGCATAAAATTTAACAAAATTCTGCAAGTAAGGCAATTTTATGCTGTTTTTTAAAAAAATATGCATGCATAAATTATGCAAATCAGGATATCTCAGGATAAATGTTTCAGTTTGATTCATAATGGTTGTTTTTAAAAAAAAATAATTCCCTACAAGAATATATGTAATTTTTATATTTGTAAAGTAATTAGTTGTTTTTTTTAAATGAGTTTTTTTTTTTGCAAAGTAAGTGCATGGCTGAGACAATCCAAAAATGCTCTGTCTCAAGAGGGTTAAAAAGAGGTGCCTACTTAAGAAATGAGAATTTATAGACTCAGCTGTGTGTGTGTTTGTATTTCAGGATGTGGGGGATTAGGTAAAGTTGTAAATAATTGCATATAACCTTACAAAAAGTTTTCAAATCATTGTAACATTGACTACATTATAACCTGTAAATTGTAGATAATATAAAGTAAAAGTGAACAGCTGAGAATGGTGAAAGGGTTATTTATGCTTGTGGAGAATTTTTTTATTTACCATCTATTCTTTACATACTTGTTTTATTCACCAGTTTAACTACATGGCAGGCATACTAATTGCAGTTGTTTGGAGTGCCCTAGTCAGTGTCAGTCGGCTTTATTTGGGAATGCACAGTGTATTGGTAGGTTGTTTGTCCCCCCCCCCTCCCTCCCCAAGTTCTTTTTTCAATTTTATGCTGCTAAAATAAATGCATTTAAAATGTATAGCAGAATATACATAATTTTTTTCCCTCTCTTATCCATCTACCTGGTCTATACATCTTTCTGTAAAATATTTCTTATATTTTTAGAGCTAGAGGGAAAATTTCATAAAGAGATGCAAGGTTAACTGTTTGCCAAGTCATTTGCTATTTGTTTTGCTTAACTTATCTGACTGCTAGCAATTGTATATTTGTTTCCCCTTAACTATTTAACAAAAGGTTGGCAGTTCTGTGACTTTTACATTATCTTTAGGCTGTGTGGAAGTTGAAACATTCTTTTATCTAAATGAATTTTAGGTATTGTTTCGTTTTCTTAGTAAATTAATTCCTTCTTCCTAAGCACTTGCACTTATTTTCATTTTTAGTTAATGATTCCTTGTCACTGAAGTATCACATCCATTTTTTTTTTTAAATTAAAAATTGCTCGAGAATTTTCAGAAGTTTCATTATTTATCTATATGAGTTTGCACAATTAGGAAACAATTAAATATATGGTTTTCTCATACTTTTATAAGTTATTAAAAAGTATAGTATATAAGTAATTGCATATCAATTTTTTTTAAAAATTCCATTGGTGGCCCTCTTTGCACTTCGAGTTTGAATTTGATATTCCTGCATGATAACTGTGATCAGTTATGACACTCTATTTATTAATGCTGGTAGTTATATTTTCATAAACCAGAAAAATTAGGTTTTTAATATTACCAAAAATAAATGTTCTAGCTATGTGTGTATAAACTGATTGAACTTTTTTTCCCCTCCAAATTTTGTCTGAAAATTTATAAAATTAATGGGTTTTTTTCCTGAGAATATGAAAATATTTGAAAGCCTACACTTCTATTTTATTTAAATAGTTATCAGAAAAGGATTTGATATTGATGATTGCCTATTTATTATTATCTATTATTTAATTGCTGCATCCCTAATCTTAAACATTCTTATCGTAACTACCTAAGTTGTAAAAGTTAAACTTATGATAAAGTTTTCTGCTAATAAGATAATATTAACTATAGGCCCATATACCATATGCTTTGTCTTACTTTGTATAGCTGACATCAATTTCATTATTGTTTGTGGTCATCAAATCTGCAGCTCATACACAATTGCACCACACATTATTATAGTTTCCAAACAGCTGGCACCTGCTTTCATGTACTTTTTATTGAAATAATCTCTTTTTATCCCCAGGATATACTGGCTGGGCTGATATCGGCTGCAGCACTAATGATGTTGACTGTCCCCCTTGTAGAGCCCATAGACAGTTTAATTATAACTCATCCATATTCCCTACCTCTTATGGTATTGATGTGTATAATACTGAGTCTGATGTATCCTTCTTTAGAAAAGTGGAGTACGGCTCGTGGAGACACCATTATGGTTTTGGGTGTTTTTTCTGGCATATATGGAGGTCTTTGGCTAACAGGAAAATTGATAGACTTTAAACCATTACCTGAATCCCTACCATTAATTTTGACTTTGCCATCATTGGAGACAATTTGGTTAGCTTTATTACGTCAAGTACTGGGTGTAGCTTTTATAATCATCTTTTTACAAGCTGTTAAGATGTCCGTTCTTTATGGTTTATCCTGGTATTTTGGTTATGATCCTAAAGATCCTAAAACAAAACAGGTGCTTGTAATAGAGTTGCCCTACAAGTATCTTTCCTACTTTATTGGAGGTGTGGTGTCAACATACCTCATGCCTGTTATATTTTTAAAACTGAATATTGACAGACCTAGCTACTATTCTGAGATATTTAATTACTCTGTCTAGCAAAGAAACCATGCCTACTTCATTTAGTGTTTTCCTTTTTATCCTGGCTTGCTTTTTATTTTAATTCCATCAAATAATAGAAATGCAACAATTGCATTTAAAAAAAAAATTGAAATATAATATAATTAATTTTATTTGTGAGACTTTATCACAATCTTAGCAAAGAGTTTGGCAATGATAATTTGTGCCTTTAAAACACCCAGCAAACAGAACCCTTACAATTGCATTGTAGGTAGTGACGCTCTTAAGATAAGTTTTATGACAAGAATTAGTTGGTGTGATTATCAAGATTTATAACCTAGCTTCTCAGAGCTATTTATATAAAGAAGAAGCTTGATTTTTTAAATGCTTGTGAAATATTTTCAGAGATTTATTTCACACCATTGCTTTGTGATATATTGCTTTTTATTTTTAAAAGTGATTTGTACTAGTAAGCAACAAGATTGGCTTTGGCTGCATTGACTTGCAGGTAAAGAAATAAAAATTGTAAAATTTGAAATTTGTTACTTAAAAATTGAACTGAAGAAACATTTCTGGTCTTACATAAGAAAATATTTTAGTAAGACTACGAAATTTAAAAAAAAAAAATGTCCTTGCTAATAAAAAAAATTTTATTTTGAAGACCAGGCAGTTAGCTTTCAGGTAGTTTTAAAGACCAGGCAGTTAGCTTTCAGGTTGAAGTCATATGAATAATGCTCAAACTTTTCTCTCACCTCTGACCAAATAGTGTGAACAATAAATTTTGTATTGGAAGTACCTTAAGGTAATTCAATATGAATGACATCTGTAATTACTAGTCGCAAACCTTCATGAATACAGTGTAATTAGTGGAGCTCTGGAAACATAATTGTGATTAAGACCTAACACCTGGGATCTACTAATAAATCTAATAAGTGAAGTTAGATTATTAACCTTTTAAAATTATAATATAAAGATATCATAAAACCACATTTTTTGGGGAGGGGAGAAGTTGGATACTGTTGCTCATGTTGTCCTTCTCCCAAGTTATCATGTTTGAATTATTCTATTGTTGAAACCTGATGTCTTAACAGGTTACCTTGTCATCAACAAAGAAAATCAAATTCTATATTTCTATCTTGTCCAAGTTTGTTTAAATCCTTTTTAAAACTTAAAAAAAACCCTAAAAATATAACTTTTGTTATGAATATCTTAAGTTTAGGAGAGTAAAATCTGTCCTTGAGTTTCACTTAAAATGACTTCAAAGTCTGTGTATTAATGCCATTGGGTTTTATTTAAAGAACTGTTTCACTTCATTTTGATGCATACTTTGTTGCATTCTTTGAAATTATTTTTATAGTTTTAGAGGTGAATTTTGGATTAAATATAATTTTCACATTGGAAAAATTGTTTTCAATTAAAGAAAGTTGATTGTAACAAACAAATTGGTTAAAATATTCGCAGTTGAATCTTGGTTTCTGTGTGATTTAAAACATAATCAACAATAATACAAAAATTTAACTCTTTACTTATGCAGCTTATTTATTTTTAAATTTTATACCATATAAAAAAAAAAACTGCCTGCCCATTTCAACCTTTCATAAGGTAAATAGTTGGCTTGATAAGCCAACTAAAGTTCAAATTTCAATAAATATTTAGATTCTGCTGTTAATTCACTGTCATTTAACTAGTTTGGGATGAATGAATTATTAAAATACTCAAAATAAAATACTTAAGATGTGTTATGGTTAAATGTGATATTTTATGAATGTTGTTTTTCATTAATGACAATGGTTGAGGGTCAAGAGTTTGATATTTGAATCATTTTTTAATTTTTAAAAATATTATTTTCTTAATTTTTACTGCTGATTTTTTAAATTGAAAAAAACACTTTTATTTTTTTGAAATTGGGATCATGTGAATAGAAATACATTTCCAGACCTGTTTTCCTTCAAACTCTTAAAATCGTACAATATCATCCCAAAATCGTTCAATACTGTATATTTATAGTAAAAAATAAACATACAGTATATATAATATATACATCTCAAAATCGTACAATGAACGCCAAAATCGTAAGAGTAAACAGGTCTGCATTTCTTTCATTTAAGTCTCATGCTCAAAGACGTTATTGGGTGGTCTTCTAGTCTCTTTAATTTATTTCTAATTATGCAAATGATCATGCATGCATGTTCATTGCAAAATTTGCCCATTTAACGTTGAATGTATATTTCTTAAGCTTAGATTTGTCTACAAGAATTAATATAATCCCTTAATTCGCTGCTGTTCCTAGTTTATTAAACTTTTAAAGTTTTTTAACTTGTGTTTTAAATTCAAATACTTGCTGCAAATAACGGCATCCCTTTTTTTAGTTTATTTATTTACAGTTTTGTTTTAATTATTTTATGTTAAAAGAAGAAAAAAAGTTATTGTTAGCTATCCACGCTGAACATGTTCTTCCCCTGGAATTATTAAAGCATTTCATATAATTTACACATCCTTTCCTTATTTGTTTATTTTAATTTCCACAGTGTTTTATCAGGAAATATTAATAAGGTTGTGGGTTTTCATAAATTTTTTTTGTTTTGTAAATGGTGTTTTATGTTATGAACAGCGGTAGATGAAACTGTATATAATCAGGAGCCATAACTTTTTTCTTTTCTTTAGGAGCCAGCATTTTTTTATTTTTGGGTTTTCTTTTATTCAAATTAGGACTTGGAAAACCATGAATCAAACTAAAGATGCTTAGACTAAAGGGTAAAACTTTTTAAGCTGCCATGTAGACCAGGCATCCTGTGTTGGTCTCATCCATTTTTATAACTATAAATGTTTGGTTTCTTTATCAAAATTTAAAAAAACCCTGAATTTTAAAATATTTCGTGTGATCCACACTGTTTGCGATATTCATATTTTTAATTAACGGGTCAGAATTTGCCAGTTTTTCACTTTCAAAAACAATTAAAATATTCAAAATTTCCTGGGCTCGTGGCATATTATTGAAATATTAGATTGGAACTCCTCATGTAAGTCTTGACAACATTTTTCTAGCCACTTAGTCTAAGTATGATTGTGTTTTTGCATTAAGAAATAAATGGTTGTATTAAGATCACATTAGAACATTGAAATCTTCAACCATTACCCATGGCCATTGACCACGATAGATGTGGTTGTTTCATTTTTCAACTTTTTAAATTAATTGTCATTTGAATAATTAAAAAAAAAATAATAATTTGTTTTCTCAGATTTAAGGAAATAAATGATTATGATTTTTTTTTTTTGGTCCTTTGTAGCATATTTTAGTACCAACATTGGCTAAAAACAAATAAGTTTTTGGCTTATAATTATGAATTCTAAAATGTTAGGGTTAATAAATGAAGATTAATTAGACACGAACAATTTGTGTCAATGCAACATTATATGTTCAGCTTTAATAATAATTTTACATAATACATAAGTACTATTACTAATTAAATTAGCTGGGATAGTTTCCTAAAAGATTTTTTTTTAGTTTTGTTACTTTTTCTACTTACTTGAAATCATTACAAACATACTTACTGTAACTTATGTGATAATTATACAGATTCACATGTCAACTTTTGTCTTAGAGGGTCGAGCTTTCTTCACTTTATTTTTTTATGCTTTTAAGAGTGCAGTGTACCAGTAGTCAAATTATACCCAGAGATCAAGGTTATGGGCTTATGAATACAATACAAATTATTTATGAAGGAGACCAAGCTTGTAGTGATTGTTTCGTACTAATAAAAACCATTGGTTATTAAATAACACTACTCATGAGTTGTTTGGACCCTTTTTTTGTTATTATGGTTACATAAATAAACAATATTCGGAATTATTTACCACAAGGACAAGATTTTATAAAGTGTATTTCAAGTTTCTTGTGAACCAACAATCATAACGATGTTCATATGTTGTGCAATCCTGAAATTGGCCAATCTCAAGTTGACATGAACTTATGTGTCTGTTTGTTTATACCACTTGATTATGTTTGATCAGTTGTTGTTTTTATTTGGCTGCCGTCTCCCTGTCAGCTGCATCTTTGGGTATACAAGACTTTGTCCATTGTAAATGTATTTAGCCACAGTATTATGTCAGCCTTTTGTTCCGTCCACATGTAGGAAGTTCAATGGCTTGTCTCATTTTAATCAATTTTTAATAACTAAATTTTGGAATATATTGCAAGTGGAAGGTGGTGTTATCTAATCACATCAATGTTTTTTCATAATGTATTATAACTGCATGCGTTGTGTATTTATTATATACCCGCTGCCACATGTTTTGATAACCAAAGTTCACCCTGTAATCTGATTCTGTTCAACTCCTTTATAATCTCGTGTATGTTATTATATGGTGTATTTATTCCTTCAGACTTTCTTCTTCAATAATTATATTCTGAAAAGAAAACGAAAAAAAGTTTTTTTCAAAAAAAAATATTGCATTACCTTTTTTATTTAAAAGATGTCTGGTTTCAATATCTTTGAGCCCATCTTTTGATATGGTACCTACAGACCTGAAGCTTGGCTCAAAGTTTTTAAATGTAAGATATTTGAAAAGTTGATAGTTCTAGAACGACCCTTGATAGTTCTAGAACGACCCTTGATAGTTCTAGAACGACCCTTGATAGTTCTAGAACGACCCATTCAACTTCAAGCTTTTCATTATTAAATACTGATATTCCATGAGCTTTTATTTTTAATTTAATTATTACCTCATTCCAGCTTCTTTTTTTTTTTTAACAATGTGTTCATCTTCAGAATAATAACTGCTGTGTTTTAATAATTATTATTAATACGGCAATTTTTCTATTAAATCGAACACACTTACAAAAAATAATCTTTATCTTCCATTATTAAAATTGCCGACATTTTGGCATAATTTTCTTTGGTTCATCAACTTGAGTTTGACTTGACACTAACAGCACCAACGTTTATGTCAAGGCTGTACTGTACCACTCATTAATGCTCAACACACACACATACATTTTACTTCATAGTTTTTCAATTAGGCCACATTTTTTTGGTAAAAACTAAGGTCTTTATCATGAGTGCTTTACATTTCAAATGAGCCCCTGCCTACCATTTCTATTGAGCCCCTGCCTACCACCCTGCCTACCATTTCTATTCAGCCCCTGCCTACCATTTCTATTCAAATGGTGTTGGCTCATAGTCACCAGCTTTATTCATTTCTGTATTTATCAATTTAGGTCAGAGTCGGTCAACTGGAAATTCTGGTGCGCAGCTGGAAAAAAAAAACTTTTTTAGTGTCAGGTCAATAGAAGCCTTAATGCTTGTAAAAGCTGTACTTAGGGCAGACAACTCTAGTGCTATCACATTTGTTTATACTATGTCATTTGTGTGCACAAGCCAGTTGAGCTAAAGTAAGGTTGATTTCCATAGAATGAGACCTGAATTGTCTGCATTTTCTCTATGTCATTGGGGAGTTTGAATTTGCCATAAATTTGCTGTTAATCGATTTTAAATTAAACTAGAAATGATGCATTTGTTCTATGTGCTATCTCTGTAACTTGTTTTGAATAGTAGGTGTAATGTGGGTAGGTCAACTTACACAGATGTTCACAACACATGACATTGTTTAGATGGTTTTCAATATGGGACAATAGTTAACTCATGTTCATAATTTGTCAATTGTAAAATGTAAAAATTCAATCCACTCAGTGTGGCATCAGTGCACAGTGATGTGTCCCCATTGCATAGTTGTGCACACTGATGTGCCCCCATTGCATAGTTGTGCACACTGATGTGCCCCCATTGCATAGTTGTGCACAGTGATGTGCCCCCATTGCATAGTTGTGCACACTGATGTGCCCCCATTGCATAGTTGTGTACAGTGATGTGTCCCCATTGCATAGTTGTGCACAGTGATGTGTCCCCATTGCATAGTTGTGCACAGTGATGTGCCCCCATTGCATAGTTGTGCACAGTGATGTGCCCCCATTGCATAGTTGTGCACAGTGATGTGCCCCCATTGCATAGTTGTGCACAGTCTGGGGTGCCATCAAAACACTTTGATACAGCACCTTCATATCACCTAGACTAGAAGTAATGGGATAAACTAATCAGTGGAAAATACTATTTTTAGGAACATTTTCTCTACAAGCATTCACTAGGTAAACTCTTGTTGACTGACTGAGCTTAGGCAAAATGGATGTTTCATGTAACATTTGGCTGACTCTATTTATGTGTTAAAACATCGATGTGCTGTAAAAAAAATTTTGTCTGAGTCCAGTGTTAAATTGATAGCAAAGTTACCACCACTTGTTGACTATTGTTATCCAGGTGCCTTTTTCCTTTAATTTTGTTGCATTTCTTGATCTTTTTAAACTACTAACATAAGGAAGTGGTTTTTATGTTTACCTTTGAAACTGTTACTGAAGTTTTTTTTTTAAATGTGTTTTTGATAGAATGTTTTGACTACAATGATGCATTGACTCATTGTCTATCCCCATCATTTAAAATACCAAACGAATTGAACAGATTGTCTTGCCATAAGATTATCCTCCCAGAACTTTAAACTAAATAACTCAGCTCCTAGACACCCCCCCCCCCCCCCCACCCCACACCCTCCCCCCCCCCCCCCCCCCCCCCCCCCCCCCCCCGATAACCTTAACATTTGTGCCATTTGTTTCTCATGTGTACTCACGGCATGCGATCAGCCGTAACCAGTTTGGTTTTGGTCTCTGAAGTTTTTCTTCACTTCCTATCAAAAACAAATAATTGGATTGTAATTGTAATATAATTTTCCCATAATTTTTTTTTTAATCTTTACAAAAAATAATTTTTAATTCATTTTTTTTTTAAAATAGCAACATTTTCATAAATGTATCTTTCTTTACATATTTCTAAATGTCAATTCTTGTCTTCGTGTGTACATTTGTGGTTGACCATTTGACTTGATCAAATCAACTGTATATTTCAAGTATTTACAATCAAGAAAGCTGCATGTCAATAAACCACTCTAATAATAGTGAAATGTCTTGAGTGCTTTTTTTTAAAAGACCTCGTGAATGTAAGGACATAACAACATTAAGTAATCTCCCACCCCTGCTTTTCAGAGGGCATAGTCTCTATCATTGGTCTCTAATAAATGTTCCAATTAGTACCAGCCTTTAAGAAACAGTGACAGACACGACCAACTACAGTTGCCTTACCGACACAGTGACCTACATGGCCACCTACAGTTGCCTTAACGACACAGTGACCTACATGGCCACCTATAGTTGCCTTACTGACACAGTGACCTACATGGCCACCTACAGTTGCCTTACTGACACAGTGACCTACATGGCCACCTACAGTTGCCTTACCGACACAGTGACCTACATGGCCACCTACAGTTGCCTTACTGACAGACATTTGGCACCTGCAATACCCTTACTGCAAAGTGAAAGACATGGTCACCTACACTGGCCTTACTGAAACAGTGACAGGCACGACCAACTACAGTTGCCTTACTGACAGACATTGGCACCTGCAATACCCTTACTGACACAGTGACCTACATGGCCACCAACATTAGCCTTACAGACACAAGGTCTCCTCACATGACAGGCATGTTCACTAAGGTTGTTCACAAGATACAGTGCAAAATGGACACTCATGAAAAGTCAAATGCACTTTAAAATCGCTCTTCATCTTAGTGCCTGAACCGAATATCAGCTCCCATGTGACTCGTTTAGTACTGCACTAATCTCGTTTGTGTCCATAAAGTGTTTTTCCTCAACGACTATTGTTAAAATAATTTGATAAGCTGACAATAATGGACGTGTACAATGTAAGTAAGAAATATGATTTTAGAAGAAATCATATGCAAGTTTTACTGCAGTGAATTGTATTTGTAATAACTTGAATAGAGCCAAGCGACTGACAGCAGTTGTCTGTTATTTCTATGATATAAATTAAGCATTTCGAGGATTTTTTTAGATTGAACTATTTCAGAGTTGCCGTTCTTGTTTCTTTTTTAAAATAATGGAACAACTGTAAATAATAGAACAGCTGTTAAAAGCTGCAAGTGCAACAATATAAAATATTTCAGTATTTCACACCACCACCCGATTAGGGAACTTGAGAATAAAATGGTTGCTGCGTCATTTGACAAAACAGCTGTCATTACAGGACCAATGAATGGATCTTTTTTAAAAAAAAAGAATGTAACTATGTATGTTACTGTGGTTGCCATGCAGACATCATATTATAGCAGTTCTCTGTGGAGTTATATTCAAATCCTTATTAGGCTCAACATCAGGACCCAATGTATTGAGTTCTAAGCGATTTCAATACTACTGTCAAAAGATGGACACGTCATATGAGACATGTGAAGATGTTTGGGTCAATGGAAATCTGTTTGTGCTTAAAATCAAGCAATTGAGTTTGTAGTATGAGTCTGTCTTGGCGCTTACACTTATTTTCTTAATAAAGACCCCCCCCCCCCCCAACTCCCAAATGGTAAACGTATAACATGTCCTGTTCCTGTTGCCTACCACCACGCCCTTTGGATGCCAACGCTTTGCGATGTGCTGAACATTTACACAGTAATGTTAATATATGTTAAACACTGGATGACACGTCCAGCTACTTCTCATTACCACTTGAGCGTCGGCCAAGACAAAATCAAGTTGTTCCGGTTTGAAGTGCTATTGAAACACTTATTCTTATATTATTTTTATGACATTGTTATTTTTATATTATTTTTTTATGACATTGATTTTACGTATTCATACCAGCACATGTATATTTAATACAAATAACACAAGACAATTTTTAAAAATAGAAAAACTAAAACAATTTTTTTTTAATAGAAGAAGAATTTAAACAATTTAATGTGTAAAGATGGAATTATGCATAGTTCTCCCCTAATGTGACAATGAAGTTTTTAAAATAATATCATTTCCACGAAAACGGTTGCGGGACATGAATTCATGTATTGATGGAGAGAAAAGATCGTGGCTTGTGCCAAACTGTCATTTCAGTTTTCGCTTTGCAAGCATCCACCATCTTTCCCCCATTCTGTGTGTGGACATCAGCGTCATCCGGATCAACCCAGTTTTGTTGATGCACCACCGTAGTGCTGAATTAGGGTCTGACAAAGTCGGCACTAGTGTGGACAGCCGCGATACTTCTTCTTTTAGTCGGCAGTAGTGTGGACAGCCGCGATACTTCTTCTTTTAGTCGGCAGTAGTGTGGACAGCCGCGATACTTCTTCTTTTAGTCGGCAGTACTGTGGAAAGCTGCGATACTTCTTCTTTTAGTCGGCAGTAGTGTGGACAGCCGCGATACTTCATTCTTTTCGTATCTGATCAGTATCAAACGCTTCGTGCATCGGCACTATTGTAGTCTCTCCTCTTCTTCTTCCTGCCAGTTCGGTAGCTTAGTGGTCATATTTTATAATTATTTACATGTATTGTGCTCAATAACTTTATACGGGAGCGAAACCATTAACGGACACCAATATGAGAATTATTGGTTAAATAGCCCTTCCAACCGGAACAACTTGATTTTTTTTCTTGGCCGACGCTCAAGTGGTAGATTGCCGTCCTTTCATCTTCATATCATCGCTGCAAACTTGCCAGTCTACTCCAATCGCTGTGTCCAGATCCCGAGTAAATGCTGTGGTCGTCATTTATGGTAGGGTACTCAAGTGGGGAGATGGTGCCATTAGACGTTTTCCTCATGGACAGAGTAGACCTTGAAATAAAGCAAGGAAGGGCGTTGTAATGAATCCAGTCAGAAAGTTGATCAAGCAACACTATATACTGGTAATGATTATGTAAACCTTATATACTGGAAATGGTTCTGTAAAAAACACTATACACTGGTAATGATTATGAATGTAAACAACAAAACGTTAGATCTGTTTTTTTGGTCAATCCTCTGATCTCTTCTTCAAAGTTTTGATCTGGATACAACCTTCCTACATGAAGACATTGGTGCCTGGGGAAATAAGACCCTGTTTTACTTATCAAGAGAGGGGTATAGAATCACCGTTGTAAATGACAGTGCAGAGAGAGAGAGAGAGAGACAGGTATAGAATCACCGTTGTAAATGACATTGCAGAGAGAGAGAGAGAGAGAGTTATAGAGATCACAGTTGTAAATGACAGTGCAGAGAGAGAGATAGGTATAGAATCACGTTTGTAAATGGCAGTGCATAGAGATTGGTAAAAACATTTGCTAGATGACTCACAGTTGTAAATGACAGTGCAGAGAGATTGGTCAAGACAGTTGCTAGATGACTCACAGTTGTAAATGGCAGTGCACAGAGATTGATATAGCACTTGAAACTACATTCAAAACTAAGAATGTGGAAAAGAAAGAATTTCTCCTTCATGTTGTTAAAAACTACAAATAAGATTATCCAAAATCTATCAAATTATGATTTTATGTCTTTCGATACGAATTCTGGTCTAACATGTTTGTATCTGCAAGAATATTTTCATCAATATCGCAAATATTTTTGAGATGCTATGTTATTATACTTTTTAATGGGCTCCGTCATATACAACTTTGAGCCCTATGAAGCCTTTAAGCCACTGGTTAATGGGCTCCGTCATATACAACTTTGAGCCCTATGAAGCCTTTAAGCCAGTGGTTAATGGGCTCCGTCATATACAACTTTGAGTCCTATGAAACCTTTAAGCCAGTGGTTAATGGGCTCCGTCATATACAACTTTGAGCCCTATGAAGCCTTTAAGCCAGTGGTTAATGGGCTCCGTCATATACAACTTTGAGCCCTATGAAGCCTTTAAGCCACTGGTTAATGGGCTCCGTCATATACAACTTTGAGCCCTATGAAGCCTTTAAGCCACTGGTTAATGGGCTCCGTCATATACAACTTTGAGCCCTATGAAGCCTTTAAGCCAGTGGTTAATGGGCTCCGTCATATACAACTTTGAGCCCTATGAAGCCTTAAAGCCACTGGTTCTCTACCTTCCTAATGCCGCGATCCTTTAAACAGTTCTTCATGTTGTGGTGACCCCCAAACATGTGATTATTTTCGTTGCTTCTTCATAAATATGTGTTTTCCGATGGTCTTACGAGACCCCTGTGTAAGGGTCGTTTGACCCCCCAATGGGGTCGCGACACAAAGGTTGAGAACCGCTGCTTTAAACCCTACTGAAGCAGTATTTAAACTTCAATTTTCGTTTTGAAACTTTTTGTGTAAGTTATTATTAGTTCAACAAATGATTTAAAAAAAAAAACAACTTAGGTGCACATGAATATTGTCGCCTTTTATCTTTTAGACCCCCATAATGGTCACCTAACCTCACTTCACTGACAGACACGGTCGCCTGCCCTCACGTATGTACATGTACGTGCACCCTGACCTCACCGAAGGTCATTGCCACCTCGCCCACCTACTTAGATCTGCTTGAACCTCATTGGACCACAGCGTAAACATCCGACCCAAGTAGGACACAAAGATAACGGCCACTGAAGGAACAAAGATCACACCGATAGCTGACACAAGCAGTGTACTCCACAGATTCACTACCCTGTCAAAGGTAGCAATTTTCTTGAGGCACACATCTGAGGTCAGAAC